AAATATAAAACCAATTTAACCCTCAAATCCGGAACGGTAACAAATATTAATGCAATGAAACACAAAGCAAAGGCTTAGTCACCTTAGTGCGTTTCTGTTGCTTTCTTTTAAACAACTTCCTATTCCGTATTATATTATCACATATATTATCTTCCAAGCAGTATAAACAATAGGTTTTTACCACTAACCTATCATATTAACATTGGTCATTGGGAATTGTAATTTAATATACCACAAATACGAAATTTTTATCAGAAAATATATGCCTTCATCTTAGCTTGAATCGAGCGTATTTTAATTAATGACTTAAAGTGCTTTCCAAATTGATCCGAAATATCCAACTTATTTGATTGCTCTTCCTTTTTGACTCTTTTTATCATGTTTTCCAACTTATCTTGCAAATTATTTACCGCATCGTATTGCTTTGTGCCATCATCACATGGTGTCTTAAATTTCACCGCTTCCTTTGTATGCCCTTCCTGTATGTTGTCATTTTTTCATGTACTTTCGCATCAAAATTATGCTCAGTTACACCGTGCTTGCCGTATATACTCACTTTTTACGATCATATACAAGATTTGCAACAACTATAGGTATTGTGTTGCCACTTGGCTGGCGCACTCTTAAGTCGTCCACGACTCGTGAAACATTCCTTACAAGTTGTCACGAGTCGTGAAATTTCACGGATTTAACGAGTCGTACGAATTTCGTGAAGTTCACCACTTGGCTGGGCGCACTCTTAAGTCCTTCACCACTCGTGAAACATTCATTACAAGTTGTAACGAGTCGTGAAATTTCACGGATTTAACGAGTCGTACGAATTTCGTGAAGTTCACCACTTGGCTGGGTGCACTCTTAAGTCCTTCACGACTCGTGAAATATTCCTTACAAGTTGTAACGAGTCGTGAAATTTCACGGATTTAACGGAATGTTACCGATTTCGTGAAGTTCACCACTGCCAATGGGTGCACTCTTAAGTCCTTCACGACTCGTGAAATATTCCTTACAAGTTAGCGACGAGTCGTGAGAATGCTGCTGTATTGGACAACCATCGCTGAACATGGCAAGCAACTCTACAGTAAGCACAGCTGCACAAGCTTTCTATGCTTGCTATCACACCAACTTTCTTGCTATCACCAACCTAAGCGGGGCATGCTTTTTTTAACATTCAAATTTGCTCCGGCCCGGGGGTACAATAAATTTTGCATGGCCCATAATCTCTATGATTATACAGGGATGGGAAGTCGTAGTTCTTCAACCTCTCGCCAATTAAAATGCGCTGATATCGAAGATCGAGAACTGACAATTTAAAATATACAGTATGGATGTAACGTCGTTTCGCATTATCGCAAATACCTCTAGCGAAGCTATGTAGAAGGTCCTGAAGGGGGGTCCCAATCCCATTTCCCACCTGAAATTTTGGCAAAATCCCAGTCCCAGTTGGATTTTTATTAGAAATCCCAATCCCAGTTATTGAAATCCCAGTCAATAAAAACCCCTTTATTTATCGGTAGAATAAACAGTTTTAAGACCTTTTAAGCAAGTGGCGAACACTTTATGAAATATTAGGAGGGGCTGCTCTGCCGAAGGCACGGAAGTGACTTCTAAAATCCTTCCGGAAATGGCATTGCAGACCAAAGACACCAAAAACGGATCAAAATTGTATTTTAAAATATTCAAAACGCAGAAAAATTGGGAATCGACTCGCATTACCTCAATCCCATTCCCATTTTTGAGGACTTCATTTCCCATTCCCATGCCAGTGGCCAAATCCCAGTCCCAGCAACCCAAATCCCATTTTCCCAGTCTAAAAATAGATCAATCCCAGTTCCCATTTTACCCCTTCAGGGCCCTCTATGTAAATGCTATTTTCCAGTAAAAATCCCTGACATACAACATGGCTTACGAATGTGTTTCCAGCCACAATTTACATAAAATCTCTGTAATTGTAAGCTGTACCCAGATCGGCTTAGTGAGACTTGTGCAGGTAGCACGGCCATTGAAATGCGACCCCAAGGGCAATTCTTGTTCACTAGGGCATAGGCCATTTCCAAATTGTGTTGGAATGCCCACAGACATGTACGTACAATAGCGTGAAAAACGAGGCTTCATGCTAAATTATAATGTTTCTATAGCAACAGCTGAGTCTGGTGAGCCTCGACTAGGTGTTATTGCTTAGAAGTTCTTACGTCACGTAATTTTCAAACAATGAATTACCCAAACATATCCCACATTGCACTGTGCATTCCAGAAGTCCGCTGTAATAAAGTTGCGTGACGTATTAAAAGTTCCGAAGCCGAATTATGGGTTATGTTTTCATGTCACGAAACCTAATCCAATCCCTAACCCTAACCTCCTAACCAATCATATTTCGTGACTGCGTGACATGAAAATGTAACCGAATCATACTTTATAACCATTCCTGATAGTCCCCAGGCTACAGAACAATATATTGTGTTGCGTAATTGCAATAAAACTGGGCTTGAAGCCTGGAATAGCTGAGACTTCAGACGCAGGTAAATGCTGGTATAGAATTTTTGCGCCAAGGTCAGCCGGGTCAATCGAGCAAAAGATATAAACACTGAAATATTTCGAATGTCCAGTGTCCTTGTTTGCCCTGTCAAGCTGAAAAAAAGCTCAACATCATCAACATAAATCAGGGTTTAACAATCAACATGTATGAATGAGGGTTTAACAGTCACCCTGGTTTCCATCATGCAGTGACTTGTTCAGCGACGCCAGACATTTAGGAAGGCAAAATATATTATAATATACTTAAGCTCCGCCCCCCTGAAATCCACAGTTTCTCTTTCTCCACATGGAATTCTAGGAAATAATTACCATATCCTGTTGGAAAGGCTAAGGAGATTTTACGTCTTGATCACTTGGTACTATATAACTTAATGTGTGGTTTAAATTAGATTCTTCATTAGTCTCCTTACCCTGTATTCAGGTGTTTTGCATCTGAATACATTAATTGTGCAACGCCAAGTTCCTCCCTACAGTTGGTAATTGCGCGTTGCCGTGACGGAGGATTTCGACAATCGAAGTACGTGTACGTTCTTCGTTTTCAAATGGCTTTCGGAACACAACCTAATCTCAGTTTGGTAAGTTACAACACTTTACTTTCTAAGTATTTCTTATATATACACAACGACAACGAAACATTGGCGTCTTTTCTACCAAATCGAAAATTATTAGTATTCTTGTGCCATATATTCGCGGCCTCAGTCTGAAAATAAAATGTCGATTTTAGCTTATTTAGGCCGCAGAATGCTGAAGTCCTTCGTCAAGAGATGAAAGGAAAACGTATCTAATATAGACTGGAAACTCTTCTGATAAAATCGAAGAGGGTTTACGCAAAGTGTTGGGAATGGCATTCATTTTTCGGCGGCAGAGAAACAGCCGACCTATACACAAACATGATATAAATCTGCTCTCTCCAACAGTCTATTCAAGTTAAGACGTAATCAGCAACTCTCAATGCTGCGTGGAACCCGTTCTAAATCTAAATTAATACAATTTGGGGTGTATATATTTTGGTTACAAAATGGATGAAGCGAAGAGCGAGACGATAAGAGTTGATTATTTATTAACGACTGCAGTTCTTGTTCCATACGTTTGTCACACAAAGCATTTCTTAAAATTTAGAATTTGAAACGTGTGATAACCTTTCCTAATGTTTCAACCCTAAAATTTACTCTTTGTCACACAGACACAGTAGTATAAAATATATACATACCGTGTAGTTGGAACAAGTAATAGAATTTATTTCGTTAACGATCTGTTTTTCAAACTATAGTACTACCGGTACATGGGCATGGCGGTATCTTACTAAGTAACACAAATATGAAATAATTAAAGGATTCGACATATTCTAGACATATTTATCGTTTGATGTTGTATATTCAAAGTGTACTGTAGGACTAAACTATTTTATTGTGAGGTCGACAACTGCGCGATAATTCATTTATAATACAGGCAGTAATATGTCATATGATGTTAAAAGACTGACCTTGCATGCCCGCCATTTCCGTCAAAAAGTGTGACTCAGCTTAATTTTCATTTCATATGTGATATGCATGGTGTAAGATTTGAAGCCATCTGAAAGTAAATAATTTATTATATCATTAGTAAATACGATTTCTGACATCAATTCCAAGCTCTTTCCACGTTTCACTTGTTCATTGTAAATTGAGATATAAAAATGAGAACATCTGAACATGCATATAGCTAGTATATGTAGATCGAAGGATGAAGACAAGCTTATAGAATATAGAATTGTATTATTCCAATACAAAACGGGGGAGCTCAAATAGAAACTTCCAAAGCTCAAAGAGATGTATGATCATTTCTATCATTCTGGTTGTCTACATATAATTGACAAAGTTATATATAATTATATAGTATGGAATTTACTGTGCTTAAAGCGTTCAGTTCTGCAGAAAAAGTTATATATCTTGTTTTCAGGTTGTCTTGTTTCGTTTTCTTTATCTAATATCTGAAAGGCTATATGCAGTTGTGAGGGATTCTGTATATTGTTAATAAAAGTATTAACGCAAAGATCATGTCTTCTGTTATGCAAAGTTTTTAATCTTTTGGCAGGCCTTGCAGCTAGTGCAGCATCATATACTTCCTCATCATTGCTCTTGTGTTAATCCACCATGCCACACTTCAGCCCCGCGTATATTCGAGTACAGAACGTATTACCACCGCACGGTAACATCTATGATACAAGTTGATCTTTTGGGGCACCATAATGTTTAAAGAGTTTTAAAAAATACAATTATCGTTTAGCAGCTTTCTTAGTAATGCAATCCGTATTTGCCGAGTTTACCACCAAACAAAAAAAGTTAAAAAACAAAAGTTACAGTTATTATAAAGTCAAAGTTAGTTAAAGTTAAAGTTAGTTAAAGTTAGTTAAAGTTAGTTAAAGTTAAAGTTATTATGTACTATTCAGGGCCGTAGCAACCGGGGGGGGGGGGGGGG